CAGAGAAATTGTCAGGCCGGTAAATGTTGTTAATACTGTTTATTATAAACAGAGCATTTACTTAGATATTTCTATCTATAAAAAAAAGAATGTATAAACATAACAATGTCTTAAAAAAATAACTGTCAGACTTTGTCCATTTCATAATAAATATATATATATATATCTGTGAAAGGACAATGTGAATAAAGACAAAAAAGATAAATTATTTTAGCCATTTTTGTCCTCTAAAGGACTCAGAGGACAAAATGCAATGGCTAAAATAACTAATCCATATGCAGGGAATCTAGAGAGCAGAAACTCCTGATGAAATTATGTGCATATCACACAATAGAAACTCAGTTCTAAGTGAAAAGTCAAGAGAGTCTCGATGAGTAAAGAATAGAATAAAGAAAATTGATGAGCAGAGCATTCAGCTTTATCAGCAGTTGTTAATTTGAGTGAAGGGAGGAGGCATATATACCTTATTTAGCACACTATTACAAAGCCACTAGTCGTCATGAGAACCAAACTTGTATGATTCCTCCTTGGTGAACAACTGAGGATATATCTGCAATTATTATGAGTGAACACAAAGAAAGAGGTTCCTCTCTTGATCAGAGCTATTACATTGGTACAGCTAGAAAAAGAGATTCTTGTCAGCTATAATGGGCAGGTGGGAACCAAGGAGAAAATTGTGGTTTCATCAGGTATTTCTGAGATGACATAAAGTCATCAATGTTGGCTTTCACCTAAGAAGAAACCTGTGACACAATTTTCAAAAGGATGCTTAAAATTTCACTTTAAGGAGCGTTGTTAAGAAAATCAATCCTGATCAGTATGCTGGTAATCCTGATCAGTATGCTGGTAATCCTGATCAGTATGCTGGTAACAGAAAGATGTCTTATGCATCAGGAGATTCATGCCTAACAGAAGAGTCAAAAGAAATATCAACAAATGCTATGGCCTGATTTGAATTGCCAAGAGGACAGATTTGATATGTTTGACAAGATTTAATAAAGGAGGTAAGGAACAAACTGGCTAAAGAAACAATGCTGATCAGAATTATTAGGGAAACAAGTAAGGAAATCTACCATTTGACTGAGACTCTGAGCAACAGAAAAATCGAAAGTCTGAATACCAGCAAGAATGATTAAGCAACTTGATATGAAGAATATTAAAATCTTCAAACACAAAGATGTCTACAGATGAATGTTGAGAGAGAGAGCTGTTTCATATACTATCAGATATTTTGTCTAATATGTTACAGTCCTGAAAAGAAGTGATAAAGAAAAAGCAAACAAATACCTAACAGAGTGTAATAAAGAATGTTGAAAATATATGAAAGAATCACATCTGTGGATTCAAAAGATGATTCCCTTGCTAATGAAAGACTGTAAACACCCACCCCAGGGTCATATATATGTGCCCTAGAATCCTTTCAACAAAGAGAAAAATATCCTGAAACAGAGAATTCATATATCTAGACAAAACATTTTAAATTAATTTCACAACGCACTAGGATATCTGAGAACATTTCAAGAGAAAAGATTCTACACTACAGATATCAGCATAAATAGCACAAATATTGAAGAAAGAAACACTTTGGCAATTTCATTAGCTAATTGATTTACTATTATTAGTTATAAATGTTTCAATTGTAAACATTTTAAAATGTAAAAGGTTCAAATAATTGTCAAGATCCATTTTCTAAGGCAATACAAATCAGCTGGAAGCATAAAGAGGTCTTAGAGTGCCCACTAGAAGTACTTGCAGGAACACCTATTGATGACTTGGTACTTTGCAAACCTTGATATTATGTGTCTGTTAACCAGAGCAGCCTCTTTAATCATTACCAAAGAGTTTGAGTTCCTTGTTACCAGTCATGATATGGCAACCCGAAAACTGCCAAACCTAGAGTTACAGCTACCAATCAGTCATATTGCCAAAAACCTAAGACAGATTCATTAAAACCTTGAAATAAGGTATCAGAAGACCACACCTTAAACAGGTAACAAGGGATAAAATTCTATTCTTGTTCAATAGACATGGTGATGATAGTAATGAGAGATTTCCACTGAAAGGTATCACTGCCATCATGAACAAGCAAATTCGATCTTTCATGAAGATGAGGCAGGTGGTATATAAAAAATTTAACTGTCACATTATTTACAGAACCTAATGTTTCCCAAAAGAACATTTGTTAAACTATCACATTATTATTATTATTATATATGTAGCCTTTATTATTATTATTATTATTATTATTATTATATATGCAGCCATTATTATTATTATTATATATGCAGCCTTTCTAGTGCCACAATTTCTATAGAGGAACAATGCATGCATACAATGCGATTCACTTTATTTAGGAGAAAGCAAATCTCATTGAATCAGTTAAACTTTTTCCAGTGATACAAGGTCCAGGTGAGGCAAAATATAATGGATTTAGTGGTAATGGATCTAAAACAATATAAAAATGTTTACTTTTTACATTTTATTGATCTCTTCACTAGATTCAGTAAAAGAAAAGTGATTATAGATAATGTTGCAATTGCATGAGTAGCTTCTGGTTTTGGATGTCCAAAGAAATTTCTAGTTGACAATGGCAGAGAATTTGAAAATGCAGAATATAGAGAGCTGACTGAACAATTTAATGTCAAGATTTGTGCCACTGCTGCATACTCACCATGTTCAAATGGTATATGTGAGAGAAACCACTATTTCATAGATGTTTGTATATAGAATATGACGGAGGTAAATCCCAAAATGGAAATAAACGTTGTTGCTCTTGCCTGGGAAGTCAATGCAAAAAACAGTATTCAAAACCACCTTGGATATTGTCCAATTCAGTTTGTGTTGGGTAACCATCCTAATTTACCATCAATTATGGAGAATCACCTCCCAGCCTTAGAAGAGGCAGAAATAAATGATACAGTTACTAAACATCTCAAAGCATTGCATGCAGCAGGAAGAGCTTACACAAAAGCAGAATCATCAGACAAAATGAAAAGAACGTTGTGCTACAATGTCAGAAGATCAAATTTTGCTGGCAGGTGATCATGTATTTTACAAGAGAGATAACAAAAACAGATAGTGTGATCCAGATAAAGTTATTGTCCATGATGGAAAAGTTGTTTTTATCAGGCACTGAAGTCAGTTAGTCTGAGTATGTAGGGTGATTAAGGTAAATGAGACAGAATTAAGGACTGACAAAAAAAGTAGTTGATAGGATTCATGGTGAAGGTAAAGATATCAATCATCCAGAAGAAGATCAGGATGATAAGCTAATAAGTTTGGAAGAATATATGCCAGAGTTATGTGACAAGAAGGATATTCAGAGACAGGAAAAGCAAGCTTTGGAACCAAGAAAGTCCATAATACAAAATGAAAGTGAAAACATGAAACCACAAAAACAGAGTTGATGAAATAATCAAAATATTAATTCCACAAAGCAAGTCCATGAAAAACAACTGCATTGCTGAGTTCCAAAGAAGGATCACTCAGGGAGAGATACAGTTTATAAAATGGGTCCACATTACCTTTCAACTTGCAGATGTATTGACGAGCAGATTCTAGCAGGCTGCTAAGAGTTCTTGACACTGGAAAGTTTATCAACCAATATATTCCACTGTTATTGTATTAAATACATACATATATATATATATATATATATAAGAGGAATATGTTATATCTGTTATTGCTCTGCTGCTGTTAGATTACGTTCTCCCCTCATAACTTGATAGGTTCTTGCTAGCAGCAGCATGTTTATCTCCCCCACAGTTCATAATAGACTCAACCTCCACATAAACTGTGCTCATTTCTCCTTGAGGCAGATATTGTACCACATGCCAAGAGAACCCTTGTCAGTCTGAACCAGTCATTATTAAACAATAATCACAAAAGTTTGAGCTTGATTTCTAATTAAGCTTTCAAACAAGAAAGAGATCCCAGTCTGACATTATGGATTATACACTTGAAGAAGGCTGTAGAATGAAGAGGCCAAAATGAACAGAAGTTTCTTTTATAAAACCCAGTTGCAGACAAAGTTTACAATTGCTTGTTGCCACAAAATCTAGTAAAAAAGTGGTTAAAATATGTGTTCACTTATCTAACTTAGCTAATGTTCATAGCAGGGTTAGGGTTAAGATATTTGGCCGACAGGACATAGTATAAGGAGAGGTAGATTCAGGCTTTTCCTAAGGACATTAGATGCAGTGAGAATCTGAATTCATTTAATTCCATTTACCATTTGAATGATACCACATTTCACCTCCATTTGTCACAAATTAGATCATCGCAGAATTCATGTCATATATAAAAATGCCTTTTTATTTCAAGAGGGAAAAAAAAATCTGATATTCAAGAAAATGTCTTTGGGGATAAAAGAAAGTAAAAAATATTTCTATTTCCTCCTCAAGCTATCTGCCAGGAATCCAACTGGTTCTATTAAAAGTCAATATTTGGAAAATAAGTTCATTCACCCCCACTGTTGGGGTGGGGCGGGTAAGAACAAAAAGAATGCATTGATTTTTTTTTTATTCTTGCCTCTCTTTGAGGCTGGTGGGAATTGTTCATATTTATATATGGCTTTTTATTTTATATATTCAAAGGATTTATTTCTTTTCTATTCTATCAGAAATATATAAGATTAGATTCTTTGAAAAGAAAAAATATGATAGGAAAATTTATCAATTATTTTCATTGATCACAATATGAACATTGATATATTAAAGAAAAAATGAAGCAAAGCAAAGAAAAGTCGAAGATGTCTACGTAGTTAAATGTGAAGAAAAATCTCCTTGTGTCAATCGAGCCGTTTTCAAGTTGCTTAAACAACTTGCTATTTAGTGACAAAGAATCAGAACCAAAGATCTCTACCCAAAAGACATTCAGTATGAAGTAAAAGCCATTTTCATCAATTGACACTTGAGAGAGTTCTCTTGCCATATATCAGAGGTGGAATGGGGAGCTCAAATGGACATTCTTATTCATAGCAGTTGGAGATCCAAAGTTGTTCAAAAGACAAAACATTGGTGAAAGAGGAGAAAAATATTGGGGAGAAAGAAGAAAATGATCTGCAGCAGGAGAGAGAGAGAGAGAGAGAAAGAAGATCTGAGAGAGATATACAAATTAGAGAAAGTGGAGAAAATAGAGATAAAGTGTGAAAAGAGGAGAAACAGGGAATTCAAAGTTCTGAGAGAGTGAGAGGAGGACAGAAAGAACTCATGAAGAGGGGAGAGAGTAGAAGAGAGATTGGAGAGAAAGAAAGAAAGAAAGTGGAGAAAAGAGAGAGAAGAAAAGAAACTAAAAGAAAAATCTGAGACACATAAAAGAGAGATATAAATATCAGAGTGAGGAGAGAAAGCTGAGAAAGGGGAGAGAAAAATTAATGAAAAGATTGGAGAGGGAAGGAGAGAAAGATCAGAAAGAAGAGAGAAAATTGAAAAGAGGAGAAAGTAGAAGAGAGAAAGATCTGGCAAAGGAAAAAGAGAGGTAGAAGAATGAGAAGAAAAGTGGGAAAAAAGAAAAAGTGTTGAAAGAAGAGAAAAGAAAGACACTAAAGAAAAATGAAGAAATAAAAACCAAAGAAGATAAAAGAGAGAGGATACATTCCTGTATTTCTTCTTCTTCTTCTCAAAGAATTCTCTCATATAGATATTCTGCATCCTAAGTGAGTAAAGTAAGAAGGAATTTATATTTCTTGCAATTGTAGCCATTCAAGATTTTTTTCCTTCCAACCTTTGACCTTTTTCTTCCCACATTTTCAAGTGTTTTCAAATTTCTAAACTATGCCAAAAATACGGTTGACAAAAATACAGTTGACAACTACATACCAAATTCTCACACTTTTAAGTCATTCAAAAATTATTGTTATCTGCTTAAAAGGTGACATAAGAGTATTTATCCATTCTGATAATTTAGGCTGCATATCACCGGAAGCATACGGACATGAAGGAATATATTCTGAGATATATACATGTGAAGATGTAAATATAGAGACAAAAAGATATGTACTTCTTTTTTTATGTGTGTTTATTGCATATCTTTCTTTCTCAAAAATGTTACTAATTTTCCTAAAATGAATACAGAAAATTAACTATTTTGAGACTAAATATTATTATTATTATTTACAATTAATTAATTAATTAATTAATTAACTATTTTAAGACTAAATATTATTATTTATTGGTTGGCATTACAAAGAAAATGCTTTGAGACAATTTCTTTTCCAAAACAGTTTTTGAAGGTGGGCAAGTGGCATCAAAAACGGATGCATCTTCACTACTGCAGATGTATGTGCACATGTGTTCTTCTGCATTTCCCTGGTTGTGTAGATAAATATAAAGAGTATTGTAATTTTTAAAATCCTTTCTCAGTTGGACAGAGAACCAAGAACATTTCTGCAAACCCTTATACATGGGTGGTTACATATGAACGTACTCTCTCTCACATACTCACACTATATGTATATATATATATACATATATATATATATATATATATGCCATCCATAGACAGACTCCTTTACTGTATCACAGCTCGGTGTGGCTAGACATCCAATTGCCTCAAGCTGGGATTGAAACCCAACTGATTTTGGCATCAGTCGGAGATGTTTTACCTGAGCTATCAGCACCCATCAGAGAGGAAGGTGGATTTTTACATACTTATTCTTCAAAAAACACGCTTATATATATATATATATATATATATATATATATATATATATATATATATACCAGCCTTCTAGCATATTGTAGACCTAAGAACCTTAGCAACCCATAATAGACCAAGAATAAAAATAACGGGATTTTCACACCCATGTAACAGCAAATGAAGTCTATAATGTAACAACATTAAACACATCAATTTGTTCACTAGTCCAGTCACTAAAATTATTTTCAAAATCTACCAAATCTCTAACTGTAGAAGTCATAACATAATTTATTTATTAGAATGCACACTATGCCAGAAACAGTATGTGGGAAAATCTGAATGGCCATTTCACTACAGAATTAATGATTATAGTAAGTCGGCTCCTCACAAAAGATTATTACCTATAGAACAACATTTCCACCTAATTCAAAAAAAATAGAAACAGACAGAAAAGATAACCTTAGAAAAATAGATTTTGCACCTCAAAAGACTTTGTCCAGCCAGACTTAACCACAAATTTAACAACACATATAGAATTAATATATAATCCCATGAATCAAGCTTTACCCACACAAGACAGATATGCTTATAGAGGTGTTGAGCTCTCACACATATACACACATCACACACACTCCCCAAAAAACTAAAAGATAACATACACTTAACACACATCCCCAGCAACCAATAAAACTGTCAAAAGCAGCAAAGTAACAATGTTGAACTACTACAGTAACCTGCCTAGCATATCTATCACTGATATTAACCAGCCAAGGAAGGTGCAGGTACACAGGACATCTTTGTACTATAGCAGGTTTAACTTTATTGAATTCAGCGAAAGGTGGGTGACTGAGGTAAGCCTGGTTCATGTGAATGGGGCTAGCCTTGATTTTCTCTTGATGCAATGCGGCAGTTTCCTGTGAACCCTCCCCTGGTTAAGTTAGACACTATTATGTTTTCCTAGTTAATATGAATGTGGTGATTCCTAGCCTGTTCCTTTAATTCTCTTTTGTTATGATCCTTGTTAAGATTTCCAATCTCCCCAGTTTGTTTTTGCCTCCTGTTTTCATCTCAGCTGGGTCAGCCTTTGATTTCATTTATTTTCTGCTTTCCTTTCCATTAGTGAGTGTGCTTCTTGATTCTGTCTATCAGCAGAATACAGTGGCCACTCTTATTATTTTAAGGGGTGAACAAGTCCTACTAATATTTGGATTTTATCAGCAGGGTTACATTTTTTTCTGGGTTCATCTCCTTATTATTTCATGAATCATCAAATTTTTATATAATTTTGTAAAAAAAAAAATTTTAAAAAATAAAAAAGACATTTTGTACTTTCATCAAATTTTTATGTCATGAGATGTTTTGTAGGTCCCCTGTGAATATGTGGTATTGTGGTATATGCAGAATTGAGAGGTGATGGTAGATGCGCTCTTGTGGAGAATGACTGGGTTGTGAGTCTGAGGACTAGGATAGCTAATGAAGACCAGCCCTTCCCTATTTGCCCTATGCAGAGGGAAGTCTTTGGAACAAATGATCCCTTTGAGACTTATGGTTGGAGCATTTGCAGTTTACCAAGAACTGGATGACAAAGCAAAATTTGACGTTGACTAGATAAAGACTGCCTTAATTACAGCCTTTTCTACAGATTTGTCCATGACGTACAAACAGCATATCAAGTGGCATTTGCAGTATGGTGAATCTGTGGCTGAATTGAAGAAACTCAGTTTTTGTTGGGCAAGATGAGTGACTGTATGCTGCTTTGCCCATTTGTGCACATGTTGCCAAGCAATATAAAGTAGACTCTTTGTGCATTGTCTAGGATGGATGTGTTCTCTATTGAACAGCTGCTTGTCTAAGCCTGGGAAATTATGATACAAGGAGATGGAGAAAGTCGGGGGTGGCAACAGTGGCCTGGCCAATGCAAAGTACAACATTCATGTCAGAAAGTGCTTTTGATGCAATGGTATTAACCACATGTCATAGCTGATTAAATAACAGGGGACAAGAGTGAGGACAACACAATACCACAAGCTGTTACTGTTGCCATAGCATGGGCCACATGTCTTGAAACTGTCCAAGAAAATGTGAGAAGAGATATGTCAGTCCCAGTATCCAGCTTGGCACTACCTGGGATTGTGTTCCAGGTTGATGGCAGAACCACCACCGCACTAATTGATACTGGTTGTTCGCTGTCTATAGCCAGCAGAAAGATATACCAGTCGTGGATGAAAGGGCCTGTATGCATAACAACAATAGATGGGGAGACCAGAGCCTGTTGTGAAATCAGAGTTGTTTCTTTACTGGTGGCTTGAGAAAAGCCACTTGGTTTCAACCTCCCAATAGGGATGAGTTAAAAGGAATAGGAATCACACCTTCGAATGCAGTGAAGAAAACCATCAAAGTGCATGGCTCTTGCCATAGAGGAACCACACTTTAGCATCGGGTTTGAAAAGTCTGAAAATCAGGCACCAACAAGCCTACGAAACAAGATAGCAGAGTATTCTGTGTTCGAGCTAGAACATAAGGAAGATAACCAGGAGTTAAAAACATGGTTGGATAATATCACATATCATGAAGAAGAGCTTGAACCTTCCAAGGGTCTAGTTCCATTGATGGCCATTATCCAAGAGAGAAAGGAAAAGGTATGCCCTCTAATGGATTACAGAGAGTTAAATGAGTATGTAGACATGTTTGCAGCAAGTGCAGATATCTGTGCAGACAGGCTAAGGGAATTGCAACAACACGCATACAAAGTATTGCTGGTGGACCTTAGGAGAATGTACCTACAGGTTTAGGTACACTAGTCATTGTGGCCTTTCTAGGCCATCTTACTGAAAGGGCAAAGGTACTGCCTTATACAATTAGGCTTTGGCCTCAACGTGGCACCTCTTATAACCAAATCGCACTATTTGGTTATAAGTTATGACTATTGCATATGGACAATACTAGGCATGTATTAGCCAATAGTCAGCATGGGTTTGGGACTGGGAGAGCTATATAACATCAGTTTCTCTCAGTCAAGAGGGGTACTCTCAGTGTGTGGAAACCAGACAAGACGAACACTATATATATATATATATATATATATATATATATATATACGCACACTAAAGGGTGGTGAAAAGTACTTGGTACAACTCACTTCACAAAATGTGATAAAATTTTTAGTTATGGAAAGTCCCTCTTGGTTGGGTTAAGAACTTTTCAGGAAAATGGCCACACACACACATATATATATATAATTTGAAGATCTAATATATAAAGCACAAAGTTTGTGTTTCTGAGCAAAACTTTTAAATTTAAACATATAAGTTTATGTATGCATGTGTAAATATGTAAAACTGTGATATCAAATAAATAAGGTTTTATCATTGGTATTTATCAGCATGTACTTTATATCGTGTTCAATTGATCTGGTTTTGCCACATGGAAATACCAATTTGCATATTCAACTCTAAAAATAAAATTTTTTTTAAAAATAAACACATTTTACTCATTTCCAAGTCTAGACAACTCAAGAAAGACAAAATGAGTTCAAGAAGCAAAACATTTTTGGAAAGATGATGACTTAACAACTTATAAACAGTCACCAAGAAATATTCTGTAGATAAAATAAGAAATATGATAAGATATAAATATAACAAGTTTATTTACCCATGTGAGTTATGTAAGGGGTCAAGGGTTAGATCACAATTTGTTATTATAACAGTAAAATGATTGCTGAGTAATAAAGTTAGTAGATAGAGATATGAAAGGTCCCAATATGAAATGTGCATTTCTCAAGTAGCGAAATGAATCATACCTTATCATGATAGTTATGCATCTCGACTAATTGGTAAGAAATACTTGCTTAAGACATGGTTTTTCCTGATAGTAAAATGTGAATAGATGTTTGAGTCGGTCAACTTGACACCCCCAAAGCAAGTGGAGGTGGGCAGGCGCGGGAACTGTGATTGGTAGCTGGCTTGTTGGTGTTTTGCATAAGTGAGTTACCAAGCTCTATGTAAAGGGTTGG